GTTTATCTGGCAGTTGGTAAAAGAGAGTAATTTTGCAATGTAACAAATTTCAAGGCTCAACAGTCATAAAGGCTACTTTAGCGTGGGAATTCTAGGCGGCAAGGTTTGCCGAGTTTTGTCTTTTAAATTTCAAGCAGGAATTATAAGCAGCATTGTACATATTCGGATAAGACCTGTCCATTTGATGGAAAGGGCGCTTGATTTTGTCGCATTCAAGTTTGAGAACGTTTGTAAATTGAATCTGCCAACGTAAAAGCGAACTAGTTATTAAGAGTAGCTGAGTTGTCTTAAAATTTCTGTGAAAAGCAAATAAAAGTTACTTTCTTCGGTTTCTTGTAAGCTTATCATATTAAAAAACTCAGCGTCGATTGCTGAATGGCTCTGGTTTAGGGTCACCGTCGTTTCAAGACACTGCAATTCGTGTGTGATGCTGTTGCTGAGATATTTCCTTCAACAAAGCCTTTGGAAGCCATACTTGCAGGGTAAAGAGTTGTAATTTGAAGAAAAGTATCGAAAGTTAGTGTAAAAGTTGCCGTTTACTTAAGCAATTATGTGTGCATTTGGTTTAAGAAACTGCGTAATCGATATTGCATAGATGAGTAGTAAAGCTATTTCCTGCCTTCGCTAAAATGTTTGAAACCTTTACTAAATTATAGTCAGGTAATATCTTTTATGAAAGTCATAATGTTACCTTTTGGAGAACTTCCAGGGCCTTCTGTCAAAATTTACATAACAGTTTTGTGTAATAATTGCCGATTTTACAACAAGTATCTATTTCGTTCAAACAGTATTGAAAAGAACATTTTTTGCGTGGGAAATGTGAGGGAGAACAATTTACTGAACACGAAAATTTTAACACTGAGACGACTTTTTAAAGCCCGAATTACAGAGTAGTCAAAATAAAAAAGCCGTCTATATCCTTCTGTAAAAGTTTGACATTTGGCAGACAAGCGATGGTACGATGCAACCACAAAAAACGTAAGGAGTTCTGTCACCTGTTGCAATTGTAAAACAGGAATTATTCATCTCAGCTCAGTCCAAGGGTGACTATGATGCTGCTCATGAAAGTTGTCTGACAAAAAAATTGGTTGCATTGCCCTAAATCACTAAAAATTTTATTTTATACGATGTGTCAATCTAAAGAAATTTTTTTACAATGTACTAGATGCAGTTTGGTTGAGCTGTTAGGGTATTACCGGCGATCGAACTCGAGAGTAAATGACAATCAATGTTAAGGCTATTATTGTCACCAACAGCATAAAAATAATTACAAGGTCTGCCGAGAGATTCTGGACGATACGATTATGGGTCCTCCATTTAAGTGTTGTTTCTTCGGGTTTGGATTCTTCTTTATCTGAAAGTTGCATGATGATGCCTTGTTTCTGGCTCCCAGTAATGCCAGGTGGCTAAGGAGAAGAAAACTATAGCGACTTGAATTGACCGCTGCTACTTCGGATTTCTGAAAAATAGCGCCTGTTTTTGATGCCTCAAAAGACAAATTTGTTTTTATAAAATCAAGTAGCTTCATTCTTCAATTCCATAAAATCTTAGTGGTAGCAATATGACGTTAAAAACAAACCTCTCAGTCGACCTGCTTTCAGCAGCAACAACCATCTGTCTGATTATGGAAAAGCTAACGAGAAGGTGTATCAGTGAGTGTACGCCATGCTCGAAAAATGCCCAAAAAAGCTTATGACACAACTTATCAAAAACACGTTGCACAGGTATCTCCTGCATAGTCAAACAAAACATTACCACAGTTTGCAGAAGAAACTTGTATGAGAAAACACTATGACGTCAAGTTGCCAGTAGGAACTGTAGCCAGCACTCAAAACGGTGCATTCATTTTTATTATTCCTTATGAAAATGTGTTCCTAAAATGCTTTTACTCACATGAATTCGACGAATTTAGAAATGTACACGTGTTTTGCTCCAAACGTCTTATACCCAATCGTCTTAGCTGCTGCCTAATTAGAACGACTGACTGATGACTACTAAAGAAGGAAGTATGAACGATAAAGCTTAAAACTGCTCTAAAATTTCAATTTTTCTCTTCTTCTCAACCTGTTCTTTACATACAATTGCTGCGGTCATTACCGTCCATTAGATGTCAATGATTGTAGATTATAAGTGCAAATACCAGTCATCAAGCAAAATCTAATCGTGTTGTCTGTACTGTACTGATGGTTAGAACACTGTCGAAAGGATTTGAATTATGACCGCTGGCAGAAGAAATTATCGTTAATGCCGATATTTTCATTGAATAGTGCAATCTTTTTCAGATTATTCCTTTGAGAGGTCATTTTAAAAGTGCGATACTGCTGTGCCACTACAATAATGATTAGTATGATTCATTTGTTTCATTGAACTTAAAGCGCTTACGATTCAACTTTGGTTCTGGCACAAGAAGAGGGGAGAAAGAAAGGTTGGAAAAAGACTAACACATGAAAATTTAATGTAAACACACGATGGTGACTACAATTTATTCGATAGAAAAAAGTAGGTGATAAAGTTTGAAGGTAGTAAGAAAAAAAGTTATTGCACTGCAAAACCTTTTTATTTCAATGAATATATCGTTGCTGTGGGAGTGCTTCGCTGTGGATCTACTGGATTGCTGTCAATGAATTTTGTAGGCATTTACTTGCAAAGATTTCATCATAAAAGATTTTTAAAAATATCAACAAGAAAAAAACTTTTCTACTTCAATTTCACCGTAATTTAAACAACTAGCGAACTGTTTTCTGCCATAGAATTACTATTGCTCTTTCAGATTTTCTCTAAAGTTAAATTTTAAAATTAATATTTGCTTGAAATTGGATTATTTGAAAAGCTTATTTGAGTGCAATTAAAGTAGTTCACAAAAATTACTGTAATCAGCCGGGAATGTGTTATATTCAACAAAGGAAAATAAAATGATAGAAAAATTTTTCTTAGTTATGCTGACAAATCGGATTACCGCCGTAGAGTGTTTGTAATTTTTACATCTACTCAGTGTTCTCTTTAAAACTTCTCTTGTTGCTTCATTCAAAAAAAAAAAAAATTGATGTTTTTGGTGTCGGATATTAAGCTGCAAGTATAAAGCACTTATCACAGTTCTTTTTTTAAAAGTATCAGAATAACTTTAGTATCAAACTACGTCTTCAGATCTGAATAAATGTGACAATCGAACAAAAGCTTTTTTTATAATGTTCTTCACCGGGCACAGAACGAGTTTGACAAAAAAAAACACATACAATACTGCTGATAGGACAATGAACTGCAAGCATTCCAAAAGTTTTATTAGGAGAACAATGACGAAACACTGGTGAACGGGTAATTCCAAAATACCGTTTCTATTAGCATTTCTAACAGATTTGTAGCAAAAAAAAAAAAAAAA